TAGGATGGGTGCTACACGGGGCACACACTAAAGCCCCGTATCAGCGCGTCCACGCGGCGAATGAGCTGCACACAAGCGAGGAAAGCATAGATGACCATACTAAAGTAGACGACTGGCGCTGGCACCGTAAATTAAACATAGCTGACACCGCTACAAGGGACGTACCACCTAACTTTGACTCGAACCATGAGTGGTACAGCGGCCCATCGTTTCTGTACAAAGAACCGTCAGCATGGCCAACCGAAAGACCCACGTCATCCGAACCGAACGGTGAGGAAGAATGCCTCACCATTACAAAATCACATAGAGCTCCGGTAATAAGAGAAGCCATCCCAAATCCAGCAAAATTTTCGAAATGGGAACGCTTATTGCGAGCAACGGCCAGAGTGCTTCAATTTATTACACTCTGCCGTAAAACAACGGACAGGACCTTCTATAAAAGAACTAGAAGGAATGAAGAAAAAGATTCCGACTGGAGGAAAGCAAAAAACAATCCGCAACACCGCACACAGTCCTCCAGTCTAAGAAAAACCGCAGATGTCAAAAGGCACATCACACTCGAGGCCGAATTCATCAGAGAGGCCGAAAAGCTCTTAATACGGGTCATACAAGGGGACTCCTTCAGACAAGAAATAGACGATCTCCGTAACGATAAAAAGGTCGCCCATAATAGCCGCCTAAGGCCACTACAGATAGAATTAAAAGACGGAATCATCACGCTGCGAAGTCGCATAGCCGCCGCGAAGGGAGTCTCAAAAGATATGAAAGGTCCGGCTATATTGGATGGTGATCACTATATCACCCAATTGTACATAGACTGGACGCATCGTAGCCTACATCATTGCGGAACCGAACCTACAATTAACGAGGTTCGATAACATTACTGGGTTATAAGACTTAGACCCACGACGAAAAAGATAGTGAGCCAATGCGTGCCATGTCGCATCAGAAAGGCGCAACCATCTGTGCCAGCCACCGGTGATCATCCTAGCACACGTCTCGCTCATCACCAGAGACCGTTCACTTTCACCGGTTTGGACTATTTTGGGCCACTCTCCGTCACAGTAGGACGGCAACATCAGAAAAGATACGTGGCTCTATTCACCTGCCTCACATCTAGAGCTGTCCATCTGGAAATTGTTGCAAATCTCAGCGCAGACTCCGCAATATTAGCTTTAAGAAGATTTGCAACGCGCCGAGGGTGCCCCACCGAAATTCATTCAGATAACGGCACCAACATGCACGGCGCGGATAAAGAATTGCGGGAGGCTTTTAAAGAAGAAGCCAGCCGACGAGGCATAGTGTGGCGTTTTATTACCCCCTCCGCGCCTTTCATGGGAGGGATATGGGAACGTCTCGTACGATGCGTGAAGACGGCACTATACACCGTCCTTCACGAAAGACATCCACAAGAAGAAGTCTTAGCCACGCTGCTCTGCGAGGTGGAGTATACAGTAAACAGTAGACCACTAACTCACATCTCCGTGGACAGCAACGATTACGAGTCCATCACTCCAAATCACTTCCTATTGGGAGGATCAGCAAGACTGCCACTGCACTGGCGACGCTCTCAGATACTCGCTGATATGTTCTGGCAGCGTTGGGTCAAAGAATATCTACCGGAACTGCAAAACCGGCGGGAGGCCCATGGTCGAGGCCCCGATCTCCAGGTGGGCGATCCAGTCCTCATTGTTGACGGCCAGTTACCTCGCAACACCTGGCCACGAGGAAGGATTGAAACTGTGTACCCCGGGGCGGACGGACAGATCCGCACTGTGGAGGTACGCACCGCAAACGGCCTAATCAAGAGGCCGACCAGGAAACTCGTGCCACTGCCGAAGTAGATGCAACGTCGCTCACCAAAATGGATGCAGCGCCACTACGATGAGATCTTCGCGACGCTGCACGGCGGGAGAGATGTTCGCGACGGCTTTAAAGACTTTAAGCAAAAAGTGATTAAAGAATATTAAATTGTTTTAAAAAGTGAAATTGGCAACAAAATCGAACAAATTGTGTTTTAATATAGTTTTACAGTATGTTTACAACTCGTAATATAATTGTATAAAGTATCGTTTTAATAATAAGTTGATATAAACGACTTTAAACATTAAATAAAATTTCGACCAATCAGAGCGCAGCATGTCGTGGAACTTTCTAGAAGTTAATTAACTGCGCAATAGTTTATATGAAAATTATGAGAGTATTTTTATGTTCTGAAAGAATTGTAAATACGATATTTAGTTAGCATATGGTGTATAGATTGAAATAAGTAAATAGATAATTTGTGTAAATAAACGCATTTGATAAATATAGTAAAATTAAAGATTTAATGTGCACTTTTGTTATGTAAATTAGGTACATTTTGATTAATAACTTTTTTGAATGTAAATATATCAAGTAACCCCTATCACATAATGATAAAGAACCAAAATGCCTATTTTGTAGTGTATAGCATGTTAGTGTAAAAATTAGCATTATATAGAAAAATTGCGATTTGTGCAAATTACGTAATGAAAATGTTTGATAATAAAAAGGCAAAACCGGAAATTGGTAAGCGGCTCTCTATAGAGTATAGCCGAAGTCTACCTTATGGGGGCAAATCACAGTAACATTGTAGTAGGAAGAACTACCAGTAACAAGCAGTAGTATCCGGTAGTAGCTGAAGTGACTAGTAGCAGAACACAGTGAAAAGTTAAAGTGAAATAGAAAAAGTTTAGCTAGCCGAAAAAGGTCGTAACTGAAAAATCGCAGTTACACATAGTCGGAAAAAGTGGCAACTGAAAATTCTCAGTTGCATATAGTAAAATAGTGTCAGCTAGCCAAAAATAGTGGTAACTGATATTCGCAGTTACATATAGTGAAAAAGTGTTGGCTAGCTGAAAAAAGTGGTAACGGAAATTTCGCCGTTACATATAGTGAAAAGTGTTAGCTAGACGGAAAAAGTGGTAACTGATATTCGCAGTTACAAAAGTGTTAAATTCAACTAAATTTAGTTGATTAATAGCTGCTAGTCAGTAGTGTTAGAAAACCAGCTGCTACCAATAGAAATTTTGGATACTACCGATAGAAATTTGTTACTTTCAATAGATATTTAAAGCTACCAATAGATATTTTTGATACTACCAATAGAAATTTGTTACTCCCAATAGATATTCAAAATTACCAATAGAAATAGTAGAAAATACCAATAGAAACTTGTTACTGCCAATAGAAATTTGATATTACCAACAGATATTTTGAAAATACGAATAGAAATTTTAAAAAACCAATAGAAATTTTAATATTACTGTGTGTTTAATTAAATCTGTGTTTTAAAATATATAGTGAACAATCATAGTTGAAAAACAGTGTTAAATAAATAAATAAGTTATAATATTTCGTAACTAATTAATCAGTCGAACCGCTGGCCACTCCCTTGCTATTTTAATTTATAAATCGTGCATTTTTAATTCTGAACCTCAGTCCACAGTTCTCCAACAGCATACACAAAGGCGGTAGTGAAAGTATCCACCGGAACCTATAGGTGTAGGACGTGAGCGGCTCGCGGAGTATCTTCGACAACATTTACTCCGGAGAGTTACGCCCGTCCGGCACATGTATAATATGTATTTTTGTTGTTGTAAAAATAAAAAATAAAATATTATTGCGCAATGTAGTTTGCTGAAAATGTCTATATAAGTTTCTTTGAAAATTTTCACACGTCTTCGACATTTTGTGGTTTTGATATAAAATGTTATATGAAGATATGTATGAAATAACCAAAAAAATTGTGAATTCCTGGTATAGAAGGAATCTTGCATGATTAACACAATAGTATTGGTTGTGCAGTATTAAATTAAATTATATCATTATTATATAGGTCTATTGCTTTTATAAATAGGTCTGAATGATAATATTTTTTGGTTATAAAATATTTACAAAATGGTGTCTGTCTATAGCAGCCCGGCCGGCAGTAGTATCAATACTCACACATGAACATTGTATTTGATTAAAGACCTCTTAGCTGTACAACAGAACTCAGTTGATTTTTATAAATGCAAGCATTACATTGATTCACGTTTATGCTGTTCAGCAGTACTAGACTTTTATTTACCACATAAAAGTGCTATTACACAACAAAGGGCACTAAAAACAGGTCAAAGCTGTATAACGTATTTACGGTGCATTATAATGGTACAAGTTTATGCTATTAAGCAGCATTAGGCATTATCTTACTACTTGAAAGTGCTATTGTAACCTAAGCCACTAAAAACATGTGAAAGATGTATAGCGGATATACGTGGCAATATAATGGTTCATGTTTATGCTATTAAACAGCATTAAGCATTTATTTACTACTTAAAAATGCTATTGTAGATCAAAATGCACTAAAACAGCTGAAAGTTGTACAACTGCTTTGTGGTTTGCTGCACTGAAAGTAAAGACTTTACAAAAGAATTTTAAAATGCCATTATTCAACCGTTATACAGTGTACCTATAGCATCATAATGGTTTTGAAATGCCAATATAAAGCATCAAGATGATAGGTGAACTTATATAAGAGCTTATACCTACTTTAAGTTCTACTTAAGTTTACTATTTGTTTGTTAAAATGGTATTATGAATGCGTTTGGAAACCATTGCTGGCACACACAAGAATGTTTAAGAATAAGCTTATTTTGTTCATATTTCGTTTGGCGCCTGTTTAAAAATATTAACAATTATATGTCTATTTGATATCAGTCTGTTAATGATATTATATTAGGAAAGTGTGGAAACTTAAGAGAGGAGCTCTTTGACTTTACGACCTAATTTTGTGACAAATTGTATCCAGTGTATTATTCATACTATATATTTCTTTTTGCCAACCAATTACATAAAAATTCAGCCGTTTAAGCGTTATTGTGGAACAAACATTCAAGCACATTAACTTAGACGTTAAATACTTAGTATAATTACATAGCAAGTACTTAAGAGCTTAGTACAATTTAAATTATAGATTAAATTTAATAAAAATGCCTTTATTGCATATTATTTAATTCTCTTGCATACATTTCTAAGCGTGCAGTCATTTGAAATCCCCAATGGTCTTTCACCTGCCGACATAAATTTAGGTCTACTTCAGCGATAAGAAGGCCATCTTTGACTTTAGATAGTCCAGGCGTTCTGCATCCATTAGGAGCTGTCACGTAACTCGACCCATAATAACGCCGTAATACTTTTTTACCGTCCTTTTTCTCGAAATTTTCAGTGCCAACTCTATTGATGCTGCAAGTAAAATAACCGTTAGCGACGGCCGCTGTTCGAGCTTCAATGCCCCAAAACGATTCACCAAATTCGGAAATCGTAGCAGATGGATTAAAAACAATTTCTGCCCCATTTAAAGCAAACATGAGCCAGTTTAAAGCATGATGGCGTCCATAACAAATGTTAATGGCGATCTTTCCGTATTTTGTGTCAAACACTGGGTGGCCAGTATTACCGGTGGCATAATATGCTGTTTCACTGAAACTTCCTACACTGGGCAGATGGTTTTTGCGATGTTTCCCCATATAATTTCCTTTCTCATCAATAACTACTGCTGTGTTCCACCAAACACAACTATTATCTTTTTCCAGAATGGGAGAGATGATAACCATCGAATGCTTTTTTGCTAATTGCTTAAGAAATTCCGTACTGGCGCCATTTTCAGCTGACTCCGCAAAATCCGACCATCGATCCTTCTCTCCTGTGCAAAGGAAAAACGGCATTGACCATGTTTCTTGCAAGCATAATATTTGCACACCTTCAGACGCTGCAACGGTTATTATATTTTCGACTTTATTAAAAATAGATTTCCTTTGGTCTAGTATTGATTCACTAGTAGATAAAACAATCGAATGCTGTACTAACCCTAATTTTATTATTCTTGGTTTTCTAACCTCTTCATTTAATGCTGAAAATGTATATGCAGCAACTTCGAGGTTATACTTTTCACTAGCTGTTAAACTAGCTTGTTTTAATTTTATTTCACAATGATCTTCCCTTCCGTAGTAAATTCTGTTGAATTCTTTCAATTGTTCTAAATTTAAATTCTCTTTAACAATTTTGTCAAGTGTTTTGTTAGAGCAGGACTCCATGTTTTTAATAAAGTTAAAACTATAACATGTATGTATAGCAATAGCAAATGTGACAAGTGGGTGTTACGTAACCATCTGCGATGTAAATACGCTGCGTAGAAGCGAACGCCGCATGAATATTATCACAAAATATAAAAAAGTCGCTTATCCGCGTTTGTCTGTGTTTTCATTTAAAAATAAAACTACTGAACTTTGATACGGATTTCACTTGCGGAAGGTTTTTATGTATAAAATATAAACTCTGTTTACTAGTCGGGCGGGTAGAGACTACAGACTTCCATTTGGCACGATCCTGACACACCTCTCTCGATTCTTTCACCTCCATAAACCTTACGCATACATGCTCATCGGTTAAGGATAATCTAGTCTGGCCCATCTTCAACATATCGCAAATTTGGTCGATAAACTTCCATCTAGGCTGTCCCTTGTCGACTTTGCCATTCACTTCTGTCATATAAATAATATGCTTTGTTACTCTTTCCTCATTCATTCTTTCTACGTGACCCAACTACCGAAACATTCCGTTCTTAATCCTGGTCTGTACATCACATACATACATACAGTGGTTACCAATTTTATACGTGGTAGAGCCATGCTACAACTATATTACTGGTATAGTTTTAGCACGAATGGGTCGGCTCGACCGGGGGAGGACCACGCTCTCATAGAGTACCAGCGTAAAATAGCAGCTTAACACTGCTGTTTCGTATGGTGAGTGTATATAACCGGAGACCACTTTTACTGGAAACGAGGCATTCCATCTTAGTCCTCAGGGCTGACAATGCGTCTGCATTTTGATACTGGAAACGAGGCATTCCATCTTAGTCCTCAGGGCTGACAATGCGTCTGCATTTTGATTCGTAAACGAGGATAGATGTAGATATCTATGGGCCACAGCCACATACCATCAGGTGGACTGTGTGCTCGTTTGTCACCCTTATCGTATAAAAATTATTCGACTTCCAAGAGTTTCAAATACGCAAAAAAATCTCCCCTGTGAGACATTCTATAAGGGAGGCCTATGTTTAGTAGTGGACTTCTGATAGGTTATGATGATGATGATGATGCTAGAGAGTAAGACTCTTCGTTGAATCGCACCCGTGCGACGCCGGGGCAGTCGCTAGTAGATAGTAAATTCTACAACGTAGTTACAGCTTTTGCGTGTACTGACTTAGTAATTATTTGCGACTGGTTTAAGGGCCAATCTACTGTGGCTGCATTTATATCGTCTACTAGATACTTGTTTGTTATTATTCGATGTACTTGCTAGATGTTTTTAGGCTCATCTGATGGTAAGTGTCGATCGCCGTTCATGCCTTACAACACCAGGGGAATCTCAGATATCGCAAATACGTTGGTATTTTTACACGTGGTAGTGTCACTCTGCAGCTATATTATGGTTGTAGCAAGAATGGGTCAGTCGGGGCGGGACTACGTTCTTACAGAATACCAACGTAAATTAGCAGCTCAATGCTGCTGTGTTTCGCATGGTAAGTGTAGAGAACCGGAGACCGGAGATTTTTACTGGTAACGAGGCATTCATCTTAGTCCCCAGGGGTGACAACGCATCTGCATTTTGTTTCTCTATTCCAATCGAGGATAGAAGTAGATGTCTATGGGCCACAGCATTAACTTACCATCAGGTGGACTGTGTGCTCGTTTGTCACTCTTAGTCTATAAAAAAATGATCTATAGTTAGGACTAGGTAGGTCTTTCATTCATTCACTGCAGCCTACCAAAGTAATCAAAGTCCACTGCTGAACATAGGCCTCCCCCATAGATTGGCAATACAAGGAGGATATTTGGCATAGTTGCTGCGTTTGGCAGGCGGGTTGGCTACCGCGCTTGTTTATTATTACGGGTTGTTATCAGGAAGATACTGTTGCTGATCTCCTCTTTCATTTCCCTCTGTCGCCTTTTAGGTACCATACCTACGGGATGATAAGGGGTAGTGATTCCTTTACCCTGCTAATATAGGGCGACGACTGTTACGTTGATATTACTTACTTATAGATATAAATAAAATTAAAGAGCTGAGCGGGTTTTCTATTAAGCTCAGGGGAATATTTACAATATATTAAAACATAAATAACAATTCTTATCTGTCTGTCTGTCCTGGTTAATCTTCGGAATGGCTGAACCAATTGTAATGAATCTTCACGAACGGATTGCTGCACTCGATCCATAGAATAAATAATAGTTTTTTTTTTATTGGATAGGGTGACAACAACGAGCACATAGTCCACCTGATGGTAAGTGGTTGCTGTGGCCCATAGACATCCACATCTATCTTTGTTTGCGAATTAAAATGCAGATGCGTTTTCACCCGTGAGGACTAAGATGAAATGCCTCTTTTCCAGTAAAAAGGGTCTCCGGTTCTCTACACTCATCATACGAAACACAGCAGCGTTAAGCTGCTATTTTACGCTGGTATTCTGTGAGATCGTGGTCCTTCCCCGGTCGAGCCGACCCATTCGTGCTACAACTATACTACTAATATAGCTGCAGCTGGCTCTACCACGTATAATAGTACAAGTACTTGATCCAAGAGTGATAAAGGCTATATTTTATCTGAAAAGCTTGGAGATTTTTAAAAAACGAAAAATTGGTAAAATAAATGGTATCTGATTATATTAAATCTAGATAATGTCACATTAATAGATCTTATACATGCGAAGCCGGTGCGAGATCTATCTATCTATTATTGTATATTATATATTTTTATTACAATATTGATTCTTTTAATCAAATTTAAAATTATTTATATCAGTATTTGAATAGGTTATTTATAAACCATTTAAATAAATATTTTTGTTTACTTGTATTGATTGTGTCCAAGCCGAATATTTTTCACTCCCATATTGTTTTAGACTTATCGCATAATATGGCCAAAGGTCGTCGATATGGTCAGACAACAGTCGACGTTTTGAATGCATTTGTGAAGCACCAGTGAGCCTATTTAAAGGGCGAGAATGATCCAGATGTAATAGTCGCATACGGCACCGACTTGTCAACGGACGGCATTGCATCATGGACGGCGAGACAGTCAGTCTTGAAGCTATCGTCAACAACAACCTCTCCGGTCGCGACCTTGAGGAGTTCAATAGAATTTACTACGGCAGGAGAGATCACCATGAGGTTAAACTCAAGGATTCTTCTATCGCTGCTGCAAAGGACGCGGACTTCGAAATTGCTGCCTACGCATTTCCCGCGAAGAAGGAGCACACAAGGCCACCAAGGATAGTGAAAGTAGGAGTTATTCAACACTCAATAGCAGCGCCAACCGATCGTCCCGTTAACGAGCAGAAAAACGCAATCTTGGCGAAAGTGAAGAAGATCATCGACGTCGCCGGACAAGAAGGCGTTAATATACTATGTTTCCAAGAATTGTGGAACATGCCTTTCGCGTTCTGCACTCGCGAAAAGCAGCCGTGGTGCGAATTCGCTGAGTCAGCCGAAGAGGGTCCCACCACCCGTTTCCTCCGCGAGCTGGCCGTTAAGTACGCCATGGTAATTGTGTCTTCGATCCTCGAACGTGATGAGAATCACGCCGATATGTTATGGAACACAACCGTCGTGATTAGCGACACTGGTAATGTTATCGGTAAACATCGCAAAAACCACATCCCCAGAGTCGGAGACTTCAATGAATCGAACTATTACATGGAGGGCAACACTGGTCATCCGGTCTTTGCTACACGTTATGGTAAGATCGCCGTGAACATTTGCTTCGGCCGGCACCACGTTTTGAACTGGATGATGTTCGGTCTGAACGGTGCAGAGATAGTCTTCAACCCTTCAGCGACAGTAGCCGGCGAAGCGGGCAGCGAGTACATGTGGAATATAGAGGCCAGGAACGCGGCGATCACTAACTGCTACTTCACCGCGGCTATCAACAGGGTTGGGTATGAAGAGTTCCCTAACGAGTTCACTTCCGCTGATGGGAACCCGGCACATAAAGATCTGGGCCTGTTCTACGGATCCAGCTACTTCTGTGGGCCGGACGGTGTCAGGTGTCCAGGGCTGTCTCGTACGAAGGACGGTCTTCTTATCGGCGTCATGGATCTGAATATGAATAGGCAGATAAGGGACCGTCGCTGTTACTATATGACTCAACGACTGGATATGTACGCTGAGAGCCTTCGGAAAGTGCTCGACCTGGATTATAAGCCGCAGGTAGTTCATGAGATTGAAAAATGAAAAAGATTCAATGCTTTATCTGTTGATCACATACACATTTATGTAAGAAAATATTAATTAAATAAATATTATAATCTAATATGACTTTTATTACCACCATTATTTTCTTCTCACCGTGTGTATCATCTCGTGGTTGTTGTAAGAGGTGGAAAAGAGAAATTAAACAGGAGATGGGCTGCAGCATCTTTCTGGTAACTCAATAATCATAAGACACTGTGGTTGCCAACCTGATTGTCAAATCGTGGCAGCTATGGCAAAAATGCCTATGAGGCAATCTATGGTTTACAAGATGGTTAATGGTTATTGTAAAATAACTTATTTCGTTTTATTCTCTTTTAATTGCCATTGCTACCGACCGGGTGGATTGCGGTTCGGCCATCCTTACTTGAATTAATATTTAATTAATTTTAGAAAATAGCTTAAATTATTAGGTAGGTAATTATAAATTGTACTATACACCCGAAAACCAAAAATTATACTTTTGTACAAATGTTGACTCCGACCGGGATTCGAACCTAGATATCGCAGTTCGCATGGTTATCTGCTTCGTTGTAATGGTCGTCGGTACAATAACGATGATAGTGATAGCGTATGCTCGTTTGTTTTATTGTCTTGTTTTAGTAGGATAGTAAAGTTATAGACTTACCCCATTACTGACAGGTTTATGGAGTAATAATAATAATAAATATTTACACTAATAATAATAATAAATATGTACACTGTAAACATCCCTGAAGCGCTACAATACCGCGGAAGTCCCATCAGCACCCTGAAGGCATTGTTATATTGTACCCGAAGGGCATTGTAGGCTCTCTGCGTATACTTAACCCATAGACTGCACGTGTAAAATGACTGACAAAAGGCTTTGAAAAGTGTTATTTTAACTTCTTCAGTACAGCGTGCAAAGCTACGGGACAGCATGTTACAGCGAACCGCCAATGCCCTTCTTTCTCTTTCTATGTCCGCATCATCAGTCAGATCCTCGGTTAATACGTGACCAAGATACCTAAACTGGAACACCCTATTTAACTGTACGTTCCTCAACTTAACAGGAGGAATCGATTCAATTTTTGATCCAGCGCGAAACACCAATAATACACTTTTTTTAACGTTATAAATGAGACCGTGGGTCTCAGCATAGGTATCACAAACATTCAATAATATCCTCAGTGCGTTAATTGAAGGGCTCAGAAACACCATGTCGTCTGCATAGCTTATGCTATTAACGAAATGCCCATCAATTGAGCAGCCCACACCAGTGTTGCTGAGCTCAACGATCAACTGGTTTATATACAGGTTGAAGAGCGCTGGTGAAGTCCGGCCACCCTGTCTCACCCCGCACTCTAACCTGTACTCGTCAGAGAGTACCTCTGTCCATCTGACCTGATTTAGTTGGTGGCCATACCAGTATTTAAAAATTTCAATCAACTCGCTTGGTAAGACCACGTCACGCAACTTCTTCCACAAAATATCATAATTAACCAGGTCAAATGCTTTAGACAGATCCAGGAATGCAGCGTAAATTGGAGTTTTCCTATTGGTATAGTACCCAACAGTATGCTTGAGTGTTAATATTGCACTCTCAGTGGAGAGACTCTTTTTAAAGCCGAACTGAGCATCATGTAATTTTAGATATCCACTGAGATGCCGCTCAAGCAGACTGTCAAGTACCTTAGCCATAATAGTAGCTAATGAGATGGGCCTATAGTTCTCTTTGTCGGAGATATCTCCAGTTTTATTTTTTACTATAGGCACAACTATAGTTCTCATCAGCTGCTCAGGAAGATAGGAATGTCTAATACAAAGGGTGTAGAAAGTAGCTAGAAGCCCGGAGAGATGAGGCCCTGCGTGCAGAAGGTGCTCAATGCTGAGGCCGTCGTGCCCTGGCGATTTACCCCTCGCCATGCTTTTAATTATATCAAAAACATCACTCGGTGCAAAACTAATTGGCACGCCCGTCTGGCAGTCCTCAGCATATGACACCGTCCGCGATGAAATGTTCGGTGATTTTACCCTAAAATGCTCTTTAAATAAATTTGCTATCTCTCCTGGCTCATTTATACCCTCAATGCTCACCGGGATGCACGGCTTAGGAGTCACCTTTTTCGTTTGCTTCCAAAAATTTTTAAAGTCTTTCTTTTTATGCTTTTCAACTAACATGTCCATTTTAATTTGGTATTCATTATTTTGGCAAAATTTTAATTTCTGTTTAAATAACTTTTTGGATTCATACATTTCTTTATACAATTTACCACCAATAGGCTTGCCATGCCACACCCAATTTATAAATTTCTGCCTAGCGTCCCGGTGAGCATCCTTGACATGTCTATTCCAGCCAACAATACGAACGCCCTTCCTACACTTTCCCTTATTATAACTAGATACAGCGGCCTCTGACAATGATGTCACAATTTTATTATACATTGTATCTATAGATTTTCTATGATCAAGGTTATAACACAATCTATCACAGCATGGAATATATTCATTAAAAGTATTAATCTCTCTCAGTTTTTTTACACAAAGATCATGGTATGTTGCAATTTGTCCTTCGTCTCTTTGTCCCCAAACTACCTTATTTATGCTTACCCTATTTAACAATTCAAATTTACGTCTGACCATCGAGAGGTCACACTGTATCTCCAGTGGGAAGTGATCCGACCAGTAAATGTCATAGTATATATCCACACCGACCACCACATTCCAGGCAGCATTGGTGACCACACAATGATCAAGCCAGCGCCTGCTACCGTGCGCCTCACTAATAAAAGTATAGGTATCTGAGTTTTCACCTAATTTTGACATATCAGCACATAACCAATTTTGATCAAAACAAAAACTAAGTAATTCCTTACAGAATAATTTTCCCGGATGTGCATTAAAGTCCCCTAAAATAAAAACAGATTCTACATTTTGATTCTCAACAATCGCTGCAATTTCACTCAAACAGTCACTAAATTCTAACAAATTTTCAGAGCAATCCGTTGGCATGTAAACACTAAATATAAGTAAAGGACTGTTCCCTACATTCACTTTAATTGCTACAATACGCTCACTATTGCACACAATAACGGAGACCGAACTAAAGACACTCTTTCGCCATAAAAGAGCAACTCCACCGTACGGTCGACCGTATAAGATTCCTGCCGATGTATCCATCGCCGACTTACCGAAGAAACCGAAATCCTGATTTATATTGCCGAGACTCGGTATTTCGTGAGGAAGTAGCCAGGTCTCCTGTAATGCTATAATATCAGCCGTTTTACATAGTGACTGAACACATTCTATGGATCTTTTCAACGATTTACAGTTAAAGCTCAAAAACTTGCTAGGCACACCGTTCAACCGACTGCCCATTTCTTTTTCTCAAACTTTTTTTTTTCTTTTATATACTATTCTCTTTAATTACCTTTTCCTTTTTTTTTTCAATATTTTATCTCTCGCTGTCACGCCTTGGAGCGTTATCATTCTTATCATTATTATTATTACTCCGCCGAGCTGCTCCAATTGACAATTACATTGATGCCGGCCTGGATCGAACCTGAGTTGCTTGCGTACTGTCAAATTTACGAGCGCTTAGGTGAATAACTACAAGTATTGTTAATTATGACTGCACTAATAATTACTATGCACAATTTAAAGATTTTTAACGTGGTACTGCCACACCTCCGCTGTCATATTACGGTACGGTTAACGGGTAGACCGAGGACTGGGATTTTACAGAATACCAGCTTAATACAGAAAAAACAGGACCGGACCGGATGAACAGGACTCCCTTTTTACTAGTAACAAAGCATTTAGTTTCTTAACTGAGGATAGATATAGATGTTTATTGACCAAAAAATGTGGACTGTGTACTCGTTTTTACCCTTAATGTATAAAAATATAACATATTTCAAAAAAAAGGAAATTAAAAAGAAAGTGTTAGGAATATTTCCATATCAGGAACAATTATTTATAGTTCATAATTTATGTCTAGTTGTCCAGTGTACGTTGCAGCCAAACGTGTAGGCCGCGGCCGGTATTCAATGACCATCTCAAATTTACAAAGGCTAAATTTGTGTAAGTAATATTCAAAATGGTTCTAAAATAAACCGAAAAGATAAAAGTTGCAGTGTTGAGCCATATTATCGGTTATCAATCTTGGGAATGATTAATTACTTAAATAAAATTAAACATCTTCCTGAAAAGAGTTTACGTTATTCACTCATTCATTAATTCATTGCGGCCTATCAAAAGTACACAGCTAAGTGACTCTAAGTCTACCCCTTAGATTGTTTCATTGAGAGGTTATTTGCCATAGTTACACAATTATTTACGTGGTAGAGCCATGCTGCAGGTATATTAGTAGTATAGTTGTAGCACAAATGCGTCGGCTCGACCGGGGAAGGACCACGCTCTAACAGAATTCCAACGTAAAATAGCAGCTTAACACTGCTGTGTTTCGTATGTTGAGTGTAGAGAACCAGATACCCTTTTTACTGGAAAACAGGCATTTCATCTTAGTCCTCACGGGTGACAACGCATCTGCATTTGATTCCTACTCGAGGCTAGATGTAAATGTCTATGGGCCACAGCAACCACTTACCATCAGGTGGACTGTGTGCTCATTTATCACCCCTATTCTATAAAAAAAATTATACTGCGTGATAGAGCCATGCTGCATCCATGTTTTGGTTGTAACACGTATGGGTCGGATCGACCGAGAAAGGATCACGCCCTTAGAGAATACTAGAGTAAAATAGCAGCTTTGTGCTGCTGTTTCGTATGGTGAGAGTAGAGTGTAGAGAACTGGAGACTTTTTTTACTGAAACGCATGTGCATGTGGATTCTTAACCCAGGATAAATGTAGATGTCTTTGGGACACTACCATCAGGTGCACTGTGTGTTCTCCTGTTACCCTCATTCTATGAAAAAATTCTATTGCGAATTTCGTTTCCTGCTGTCACCTCTTACGACATCAAAGGGATGATATGGAGTAGTGGATTCTCGTACACCGT